GCGAAAATGTATTCTACTAACAAAGGGGGTGTTAAAAAAATAAGAGACTCCGAGGGGCTGAGAGATAAATAATATTGTGATATGGAAGCCCCGAGGGCTGGAGTGTGTGACGTCGAGCTCGACGAATTCCATTAATACAAAATCCATTAAGGGAATACAAAAATAGTTTCATTGATAAAAATTATAATGATAATCTTGGGGAATTACTGAATTATTTATAGGGCGATGTATTTGCAGTCACATACGAATAGATCCTTACAGATTTCTCAACGGTCTCCGTCATCAATTAATCAACGATTGACATCCTCCCCGTGGGCGTGACAATCTCATGTCTTCAAGTCTGATAGGTGAGTTATGAAGTCGTTATGACGTCTTCAAGTCCTCACTTACACTATGATGAAAGAATTGTGAATGATATTTTTTTTCTCTGTTTGATTTAAAACAATGTTTTTGCACGTCATTGAAATTGCTTATCAGCCTATTTCCATATGTCGAATCTATTCCATCTGGCCCGAAACAGGCGTATAAAAAGGTGGCAAGCGGTATTGAATTTTATTCAGATTGAAGCATAGGAGTAAAGCACCACCATGAAAGCGGGTAAGCCAATCAGCAATATAACTTTTCACCCTTGAAAGTTCCATATTTCAATCAATACTCAATTTTTGGAGCAGTTTTTCTCGCACTCGCCTTTTTGGCATTGCATGGCACGAGGACAGCGGGACAGATAAGGAACCTAGACGATGCGATCAACCAATTTTCAGTACATTTGTTCCAGGTAAAAAATCAAAAGTCGATGAGAAATATCCCTGAATGTATTACATCAGGACATCAGTAGTGTACCGAAAAATTTATAATTAATGAATCATTGGATTATTTTAATAGGCAGCGTTGAACGATGAACCAAGAAATTTGGTAATTTCTCCATTAGGTGTTTATATGGGGTTGGCCGGGGTACTTTATGGTGCTACAAATGTGACAAAACGTGAACTAGAGGACTTTCTACACCTATCAGAGGAAGACCTATCTGAACATGTATTGGATTTTGGAAGTATTGTTACTACTCTCGACGTAAGTAGCCAATGAGTGACAATCGTGGGAGCATACAAAACAGTTAAATTTATTAGCAATTATTTTAGCTACATAGTAACGTGTTCCTGTTCCTCAACAAAAACAGAGTTTTCGTAAAGCCTAGCGTATCACCAACCCTCAGGTATGAAAACATTCTTGATTCTGCATTCCATTCTTCAGTGGAACGCGTCGATTTCACCGATACGATAGCCACTGCAGAGTTAATAAATGACTGGAGTAACCAAAGTACTTCTACATTTATTGATAAGATTGTGAATCCAGGTAAGCGCACAAAGTAATTCTCACTATGCGGAGACTCATCTCTGACACAAGTTCATGTTAAACTCATGGATTTTCCATTCCATTGAATAGATTCACGAAGGAAACTCCACCTTGTGGAATATTTCAATATAATAA